AGGCATCTGATGATTATCATTAATTTCAAATGAAATGATTTACCTATCGTTATTTTTATATGTGAGTACACCGATTACAATAACCTTACATATTGAATTAAGACATTGTTTTTTTTTAAATTTTAAACATGACGAACAAGAATATTTATTAAATAGTAAAATAAAAAGTAAATTTTAGCACAAAACTATGGACCCAAAATTCATAAAATTTAAAATTCTATTGGGATTTGTATAACCAAGCAATACATAAAGTCTTAAAGGTAAGATAACATTACATACCTCGTCTGAGTCCTTTAACGGGATTTCGATTGGGTTGACCATTTTGAGACAATCGATCGTGAACTGTGCAAAAAAAATAATTAATATAACAAAATATATAAATTACTATGACTTAATCATTCACGAGCGGCACGTCTCGCTTCGTGATGTCTTACCGAACGGGTAGTTGGGACACTCCCTGGTGTTGGCGTAGCAAGGACGAGCGTCGAGTTCGTTGAGTAACAAGATGGCGGAGACGTTCGAGATCGGTCGCACAGGGAGGGTTCAGGGTACTTGACGATTCGGCGATCGAGAGAAAAGAGCTAGTAGCTACTGCTCGGCATGCCGGCCGTCGCAACAGACGCCTCTATATCAGGCGGCAGGCAGTGCAGCCAACCACCAGTGAGACCGACGAAAGGGAGCATAGACCTAGATAGATTTATCCTTTATCTATGGCATAGACTCATAGATAATAGAAGAATTATCTATGCATAGACCTATAAACTAAGGGGCAGCGCTTAGAGAGAGAAGTCAAGGGCATACCCTTACGATATAGATTGAGCGAAAAAAGAAACAAAGTAGTTACATTAATTATACAGTTTTTTAAAGGCGTCTATGCGTAATTTATGCGGGCTCAGTTATATGGTAATAGCATGATCGCCTAGCCATTGAAGGCAGGACGGAGTGGAATGCGCAGATGAGCTGTCAATTAGTTTATATGTCTATGAGAGGGAGTATTGGGGTGAATGCTCATCACACGGTTGTTGATAACGGGGGACGTTGGCAAATCTATAGTCATTACCAACTTTACCATAGTTACATAAATCATTTTTTTTTATTGATCTTTTTATCCAGGCGACTAAGACCATTAGCTTGTTTGTAGGGTTATGTAGTAGGGGTAGGGACAGTATGTTTTTTAAAACGTGTGTGTTTTTTAGTAGAACTTCGAATGGGCTTCCTTGGGTTTCTGCCATGCCCGGTCGGGGGATGGCGCCCTCTCTCTCCAGACAGATGTATGCCGGAGAGAAGTGCCGCCCGTGACCGAGATTCGAATTGGAGACGGTGTGTGTCGCAACCGACGTCTTATTAGTTCGCTCGACCGCTCCGTCCCTAAGTAATTTTCAATCTTTAGCTATAAAAGTTGCACACTTAATACATTTCTAACTACAAAATCATTTTTCAATTTTAAATTTGATAAATTTACATTAATACCACTTAATATATCTAAATAAACAATAACTTATCATCAATAATATTATTAAGAAAATTATATTGAATGTAAAATGTACTATTGCAATCCATTTTATATAATATTTTTAAACTAAATTATGATAATATTACTATTATATTTTACAGTTATGATTAGTTATGAATTCACATATACTGTTTTTTAATTGCAAGCAGTAGCGTACGCAGGATTTTAGTTCGGTTAGGGTTTTACCTGAGTAAATAATTTACATTATTTTTTTCTAAATAGTTTTTATATAACAAATTATAGTTAAGTCTCATATTTAGTCTACATATACAGTATTTAACCTGATCATCTATAGCACCTCTTCGGGCCGTAATAAACGTGGTAATAATCGATGCATGATGATATACCATCGACTATGGCAGACGTTTAGAAATGTTCTAAATCAGCCAAAAAAAAAAAAAAACTGAAACTATGATTATTGAAGTCGTTGTCATATTCAACAATTTATTTTATATCTATGAAAAATTACCAACAATTCATCTGCGTGTACCAAAGTGGTGGTGAATAAATTTTGGGGTGGAGAGGTCAGAACCCAAGAACCCTACCCCTGCGTACTCCACTGATTTCATGTACACTGTACAGTGTTATATTTTTATCTCCTTGACGAATAATTTTAAAGTGGGGGGGGGGGGGGGGGGGGGGTTAAAAATAACCTATTTTATTATGGACAACTATTTTTGAACTACAAATAAATAGTAAAACTTATATAGAATCTTTTATTGAATTTTCAAATTTAGGTATAAATATTAAACATTTAAAATTGTTTAATTTTCTAAATAGTTAAAAATATGTTACTTTTTTTTTTAATAATTATACTTTTTGTTAAAGCTCAACGAATAAGTGAAATAAGTCATAACATACTATACATACATACAACATAAGTTTTGACATTTTAAAAATGGATGTTGTGAAATTAATTTATATAGGTATTAGGTAGGTACTTACATACTTTAGTCAATGATTTTAGTACAAACAATATTACCCACAATATTTCCCAATAATCATTTTAAATTTTACCTTCTAAACTGTAATAAATATTATATACTAGGATATTTTACCCCCCGAAACGATATATAAATTCACCTGGGTGGTAAATATGTATTTCAAACAGATCGTTAATTATTATATGCTAGTATATTTTTAATCCTTCTGATGAAAAATTTTGGGGTGTAAAATATCCCAGTATATTTTTACCCCCCCTGCTGAACAATTTCATCGGGATATTAGTGCTGGGGGGGGGGTAATAACCCCCAAATATAAATGTTTGAGTTTTCTCTGTGTCCAGAAATGACCCATGACTGTTGAAGAATTTTAGTATCAATCACATTCAAATCATCTAAATTATCATAATATATGTTTACCAATAATTAATATTTGTTTTATAATAAAAAAAAAATCTTTTATACTATACTATTTTAAGAAGTAACTATTTAATATAATTATCAAACTATAATAGTGTCGCAGATTTCTACACCCTCAAATATTTTTACCCCCGGGGATGAAATTAACCTAGGATGACTTTACTGGAGGTATAAATATCCTATGTTTACTATTAATTATAGTAAAAAGTTCTCCGTAGGACAACACTGCGTCCATTCTACTACATTTTAGTTCGTTGACGCCAAGTGAGAGGTGTCATCGCCTCCAGCGACTTCTCACAATCTCACTGCTTTTTCCGACCTCTGGCTACAACAACGTACATTCTGTCACGTCTCTGGGACTCCGTCATCTTTCAACAATTCCATAACCTCGTGTCACATGACCCATTTGTGCTGCCGTTATTTTTTACTACCGTGTCGACACCAGCCATGATGTGCGAGTAGAGTAGACCGTCGTGGGCCCGATACTGGGCGAAGCCAACTCAACGATAATTTTTCTAAAGACCTCAAGACTTCAGTCGTCGTTTGTCGTAAAGTGTTGTTTTTCCCCTCGTTTTTCCCCTCGTTTATCCCCCCCCCCCCCGTATACAACTACTAACCCACGTGGTGGAAGCCGAGAGTCCCTAATATTTTATTATAGATATCCCACCTGTCTTTACACAAAACATAACTCTCCATAGTGTATGCCGCAAGTACCCAATCTCACTCTTTTTTACCCTCCATTTATTCCTTTCCAGAAAAGTTTCGAGAACGAGTCTTTAAGGAAAATAATAACATTTATAAGTTTTGTTATCGTTAGGTATACGTAAGTTTAAACTCGTTATCTATTATATATTATATCTATTTTGTACATTATACATCAGCTGCTTAATTTAATATTAAAAAAATTGTGTATAGTTCTGATAAGGTAAGGTACTTAATATACTAAAAAGGCAAAATAGACTTCAAAATAATATATAAAATATAATTATGAAAATAAAATATAATGTAATACACAGACTATGATATACAGGTATATAGGTATATTTTAGTCCATGATTTAATATAATCACAAATTGTTAACTTTGTAGCTATGTGCCTATGTGTATCGTATATTTATCATGTGCTGTAAAAAAAATACATATAGTTAAATGTAACTAGGTAGTAATTACCACATAAATCATAATATTTATGTGGTGGAAATCGACCTCAGAGTTTGTGTTGTTTAACAAACCAACCTAGCCGTATGAATGAATATAATATGTAACGACAACTTCTTAACAACCACATAAATTACAAAATATAAATAAGTAGGTACCCTCCTATACCGGTTATACCTAATATGGATCCCATAAATTGACTGTGCATACGGGCACATTATTACAAGATTATATATAAACACCTATTAGACGAAAACATGAATTGGACATATTATTATTACATTATATTGTACAAACAGTAATCCGGTAAAAATAAATGAAATTAGGTACACTGTTTCCAATCCGTATAAAATATTATATTATTACCCAACCACCAAGAAATTATTTGTATCCACAACTTTTAGATAAATGTAAATAATCATAATAATTAATAATAAACACTCTTCAAAATTAATTGTTAAACGGTCAATAGTTAATAGTTCACAATTGTATTATAAATTAAAAATAATATGATAGTTATTACGAAGAATACGGAATAACTTATTAATTTGAACGATATTTTAAAATAAACTATTGGTTTGAAAATAATAGATATTTAACATGACACTGTCTTGTGTCACTACATTTATAATAATTGATAATTTTATTATATTATATAATAGGTACTAAATAGGTAAATTACCAATTTTTTGAAAAATAATTTCAACCGTCTGTTGACAAATGGTGGAACCATAAAAAAAATCTAAAAAGTTTCTACCTATCAATTAGTAATCTGCAATTATGTGGTTTTACAAACATTTGGCTAGAACTAAATATTTAACAGATAAATAGTTATTGGTCCACAGTAGAACGCCCAATTTACTCGTGAATAAATTAATAATAATGACTCCTTATTTACAAAACAATAAGGTAAATGTTAAATTACAAAAATCTAAAAAAACACACAGAATACTAAATATAATATTAATTTTAGTAGAAGTCTCTGCGCATGAGAAGGACTTTGTTCTTCAGTACATCCTCAAAAATACACAGTAGGTCGATTTGGTGATCTTTAAATGTTTGGTTTCCGTTAATTAATAATATGCACTCTAGGTATTTGTTAATAATATTTCCGAGCTGGCTTTCAGCGGATAGGAATCTAGCTGTGCTAAGTATTTTCATTAGGTGATTCAAATATTTGTCCATGACGGTGATTATGTCTTTTTGTAATTGCTCGTCGACGACACAATTCTTATTCGGGATAGGATAATGAAGTATCATCCGAATGTATTGCATATATTTGCTCATATTATCCAAATCTACGTCTAAATCTAAGGCCTGCAATTCATTTAAATTTTAAAATCAGCTATAGACAAATTATCTATGTAACTAGATAGGTACATTAAAAATATTTCAATTAAAAACAGTTAACTGCGTGATTACCGTTATTAAATTGTTCAATTTTATTGGTCTGTGTAGCAAAACTTTAGTCTCAGTACATATTTTTTTCTGAACACAATATTTAATGCAATTTTCCTTCATAGTGTTTCTGTTCACCTTGGCTATAAGATTTCCGATATTTTCCTCGTCAATAAGTACAATTTCAAGATAGCTGAGGTTATTGAAAAACCATTGGTATCTTTTTAGCTTACAGAAATTAAGCCACTTGTTGAATGCTCCGTCCATGTCCTGACCAACGATTGTCTGGTCGATTAAAGTACTACGCCTGTGAGCAGTTGCAACCATTTCGAGATGGTTATTACCAAAACATTTGACTGAAATAAAGAATTACATAATTTAAAACAGTGTCAATGAAAAGTACTCAAAAATGTCTACATGTATGTATACTAGTTCTCACGGTCGAAGTTAGGAAGATCACGTAGAGGGTTGAAATGTAAGTGTTTGATTTTTTCCCATACACGTGTGTCGTTTTTAATTTGTTGTTGTTGTTCAACACTTTGGTTATCCAGCGATACGGAAAGGTCGACTTGAGTCTGTTTTAAATAAACTTTCCAAAAATGATCTGTGTCCGTGGAGCATTCATCGTCATTGGACAGCTGCTTTACTCGTTCAACAAGATGTTTCAAAATTCTAAAATTAATTGCAATATACCTTCATATATTATTTGAAATAGCATACTTTATCGTTGGAAAGAAAATATTTACTCACTCGTGTATGGTTTTTAAGGATGGAGATTTCTCAATCAAATAGCATATTTTTACTACCTCCTCCACGTGAGTTCTATTTTCTATTGTGCGGCACAGCATATGCTTCAAATTGTTTAGATATTCTTCTTTGACCATCATGTCGTCACTTTTAACCAAAATCAATGCTTCATGGATTTTAACGATTGAATTTGACGTATTAGAAGTGTTTAGCCATTCAGACATTTTTTTTGGATCGTTAGCATCAAGTTCTCTTATTTTCATTTCCATAAACAGCATAGAGTAAACATCGGGATAGTCAAATGATAGGGTATTGAGCGATTTAATCAGAAATTCGTGTCGTTGTTCATCTGATTCGCATTCCATTAACGCCTCAGCTAGTCGTTTCATTGTATAATAACTATTAACTTACTATCATAAATTATGAAAAATACTATTTTGAACATAAAAATATTAAAATATTAGGTAAAAGTAAAAAGTTATTAATATATTGGGGTTATACAGTTATTAAGGTATACAGTGGGTAACCTAGGTAGTTACATCCAAAAATCAGTACTAAAAATTGATTTCACTATGTTAATATACGAATATAGGTACGATAGGTATGTCGGTATAACGGCAGTTGTGAAGAGAAATATAGACAAATGCTGATTATTCTTCTTAAACTAAATATTACAGACTATATATTAATTACCATCAATTAAATTTTGATTCCTATTTCCCATTAAAGTAGGTACCTACTACTTATATAATATTATGCATATTTAACACATAAGTACTAAAACTAACAATTATAATTATACACAGCATAATATTATGACTGACGAGCAGGACAAGTGACGATATCGATGTAAATCTATCTAATGGCTTAAGTTATTTATTTGTATAATACATTTGTACAATTGTTAATGATGATTGATAATATTGATAATTCACGTAGTGAACGCTAATTAGGTATAAACTAGCTACCTCATTGTAAAGTATATATTTTACACTCTACTTATATATACTGTTTTGATTAATTTATAAATAATACTTGTTATTTATGTGAAGCATCTGATGCTGAGGGTAGTAAAACCAATTTTCGCGTGGTTTGAAAATTGAAACATCTATAATGCAAATTTAAGATAAAGAATAATTTTTCTTAAAAAACCGGAATTATTTGTTTTTGATTATGCCATGTTAATTTCTTCTAATAAGTCATCCTTTCAATTTCCATGCATATTTTCTATACAAAATAAATTAGACGTTTCACATCTGCCAGGGCTACCGCGCCGTCTCACTTTTATCCATAGAATATCGTTAACCAACACTTTTACTGTAACATTTGTATGTAAGTAATAACTAATTCCACCAAAATCATATAATATGTGAAATGAGAGCCAAGTTCAATACTATAATATATGCCTTGGTTGTTGACTTCAACGACAAAATAAGTGAGATCTAAATGGGTGCCAAGTTAGGATAATATATTGAAGCCTAAAGTCTGACTTGCTTAGTTTTCATATACGAATTATTAATCAGTACCTACTAAAACAGTAATGGAAGAGCGAAGATGATTTTCCGAAGAATAAAATAAGAACTCAAAGCTTTAGAACTTGCGAATGCTATAATATATAATTCGTAGCCAAGTCAGACCTTAAGCTTCAATATATTATCCTAACTTGGCTCTCATTTTACATATATGTTTTTGGTGGGATATCATTACTTTTTGTATGTAAATTATTACAAAATAACCTAACCTAGCCATGACGTATTCTATAAATAAAGTTTATTACTATATACTATAATTCAGTAATCAGTTACTAACATTAATAATATTTATTATAAAATATTTTCCGTTGTATACAGAGTATAAAATATAAAATTAATATAAAATTATTTTATCCCTTTTTGAGTATATTTTTGATTAGCATAATTTTATTTACTATAATTTCTACTGGTGTGTGGGTAATTCATAATCGTAAGATAAATTATTTAATTATTTTAATTGGAATTTTTTTAAAAATTAATATTAATTACATACATAGAAAAAAAGGTTAGAGGAGCTATTTAAGTCAACATTACATTATATTACATTAAATTAGAGGCACTTATAATTAATTGATTGAAAAATTAAATATAATAAATTAAAAAATTAAAAAAATTAAAAATTGTCAAGTTTCTGAATTTTTTCCTTTGTATTAACCTAATTACCTATCTGTATGCCAAATTTGAACTTTCTAGGTCATCTGGAACTGGGTTAGAATTTTGATCTATAGATCAGTCAGTGATACAAATGACGATTATGGGACGTTAATATCTAAATAACGGTTTGACGTGTGCTTATGAATTTTTGAGAGCATATGTATATCGTAAGTCTGAATATATGATCCAAATTCGACATGTTTATGTGGAATATATTTTGAGTTATGAGGGGGTAAAAAGTGGCTCCAAATGGTTCGTGTAATATTCCACAAGGTGCTCGCCAGTTCGGTTAGATAGAACTTGGCTCGACACTCTACCGCGTGTCTAGATAAGTACCTATGTGTATACTTATAAGTTATAACTAATACAATACAAGACACTAAAAAAAAAAAAAAAACTTATTTTGTAAATAAGTCAATATTTTTATGACTTCGTTAATTATTTTTTGTTTATGTTAATTACATATTAAACAATTAATAGTAAATACCTAAATATTAATAAATCAAATATAAAATTCAAAACATAATAAAAGAAAAACATTGGTGTTTAATAATAAATCAATAATAACTATCAATTTATATAACTGAATATTAATTTTAATGTTAGACGATAATAATGATGGACGACTACGAGTTGGTTCCCAATTATCGATTTGGTTCCCAGGTTGTCTACGGGTAATTGGTTCCTGAACTATCTACAGGTAACACACGAATTGGTTTCGATTAGCTTTCATTATATACCTACTTAATTATAATATAAACTTCGTAAACATTTTAGGTATAAGACCTAATAAAATATCATAAGAATATAAGATAACTGCGTTTATAGGTATATAATAATTAATATGGGAACCTATTCGAACAGTTGTATAATGATAAGTAATTTTTTTTCGGGAACCAATTCGTACAATCTATTTTACTTGTGAACCAATTCCATACTACCCATAATAATATAGCCGATATATTTATATATTAAATATGTAAATCATATTTATATAAAGATTAAAGACAGTACAAATATACCCAGTGATGTTATTGCGGGTGGGGGGCAATGGGCACTTGTCCCCCAGAAATGTTTTTATAAACATTAAATAATCCACACTTAAAATTTTTTCTTAAAAAGACTGTTAACATAATATTTTAATATTAAAATATTTTTTTCCTCAAATTACTTTATAAAAGTTTATATTTATTTTAGGTTTCTTTTGTTGAATAATATTATGTTGACGTATTGTCAATGTTACTGTTATCGCAATAATCGCATTATTCATAATTATTATTATCCGTGATTCGTGAACACGTTATTATCTTGAAATCGCGACTATGACTACAGGAACGGGGAACGGCCAAACGGTAGGTTCATTTTTTTGCCCCCCTTCAATTTTTATACAGTTACGCCACTGAATATACTTATGTATTATTGTATGCACTGATTGTACTTATCAGTTAGGCCTGAATTGACTCAAACCTGGTCTACAAATACAACAATACTAATTATTGCGTACAATAGGCACCTATATACTTACGTATCAAATATTTGGGGCGGTGAAGGTCGATTCGCGGATGGACCACGAATCACACGTAGTCTTATGAAGACGACGTGTACGATGAAAGTCCGCAGTCGATCGTTCAGCATTCGAGATTCGTGTTAGACTGCCTCAATAAAAAATTATGGAAGAAAATAAATATCAATTATTAGACTCTACGGCACACCCAAACACCACATAAATGGGCGGCGCTACATAATCGTATTCCTGTGTACAAGTTGTAGTAGGTAGGTATTAACACTGCAGGGCACAAATTTTCACCATATATATATATATATATATATTTCCCACTGTGAAATACGAGTCATCGAGTCTAAACTCAAAAGCACACACAAACGCATACACACACCACATATGAAACAGGTGAACGACAAACGGACACGGCGGGACGTCCTTTTTATTATATAGGTAAGCACAGTTATATAAATTAAAATTCACTCGCTACAACTACCGTCGTTTACAATATAGCGGCGAGTGACCTAATCGACCACCCGCCGCCTGCAGCACACTTTTATACTAGCGTTGACTTTTATAATATTATTATCTCTTCACACGACGAATTTAACACGGCTTAAAACAATATAATATTTACGGGTTTTTAAATGATTAAAAGATTTACCTGTTGTACGTGTCCCTACAGTCTTAAAACTATGTCAGATAATAGGTGTATATCTACCTAATATCCACATGAAACTAAGTATTTTTTACCAAGTAAAAAAAAAAACATGTACAATGGTTCTTACTGTGTTGCACTTAACATGTTTTTTACTAGCTTAAAAGTCAAAATCAGAACGAGGCGATCCATTCGTTAATAACGCATCGCATGGCAATTTTAAATTTCTTATACCTATCTTGACAAATAATGAAAAAAAAAACAATCATTTTTATTATACCTAGGTATTGTGGGTCTGTGTGGAGTTCCACGTACCCAACTACTTTTAGTGATAAATATATAAAGAAACTAATTTTTGTGAAGCGAGCTTTTTTACAAAATATTAGGTACCTACCTAATATAATATATTTATTCGGCATACGCTCTGTGATACTTTTATGTAGAAGGATCGTTAGGATTGAACAACGGATTTTGGGGCCAACAAAAAATATTATTTAGATTATTTTATTCACGTTCGATAACTTCGTTACTTATTAATTATTAGTTATTATTATAATATAGTTTAATAAAGGTTATACCCAAAATGTTATGAGCTATTACTTAAAACTGCACAGTTCCAATTTTACAATATTTTTCTCAATTTGTTAAATGACCCAGTTGCTGTTTGGTGTTATCACAATTTCCGAACTGGGAAGGTTTTTTTCTTAAAAATATTATTGTATAAACTAATAAAGCTTGCAATGAGAAGAAAAACCACCTGTTGAAAAACTGCAACTTTGCAAATAATAAAAATAAAAAAGATAACTGTTTTTATTATAATATGTAACTTAAATTCATCTCAATTGTTTTTTTTTAAATTTTTTTTTTATATTAGGGTTAAGGCATTGAAAACTGACGTCATTTACAACCGTGGAGAGGATACTGTAGGTATTTTAACACCTGTGTGTGGCAAGGATTTGTCACTAAAAATCCCGGGTGGTCACCTATCTGGAGCTAGTTTGTTTTAATATTTACTACTAATATTATACTACAGTTGTTGAAATGTAGGAAGTAAATTGAATTGACTCACGAAGATGACTTATAATTTGTATTTATTGTAGTCAAATAAAATAGTTATGCAATATTATTCTAAGTCCAGAATAATTAATTTAAGTAAAACGGTTATAAGCGAGTTGTGACTAAGTATTTTAGCTGGTGTCTGTTCGAGTTGAGGCTGGCTGCTCGTCTAATGAACGCTTGTCCATCAGCTTTCCTCGATGGGTCTCTGTCACTGTCCCCTCCATTAGTTTTAAGTTAGACAAAATCAATATTGGTTTTAGGTGTGATTTAAAAAAAAACTGAACGTAAAGTGGTAAATCCGTGGTAAGTCCTGTTGAAGCTTGCTACCTGTTTTTAAGTTATTATTGAGTGATCCTCCCGCGGTGGTCACATCAGATGCATCAAAGACGACTCGGAGTTTAGTTGTCTTACTCTCGGGACTCACGATGCAGTGGTGTAGGATTTAGTAACAATATGGACTCATTATTTGATTCATCGGGATTACTTCTATATGTAGTCTCGTAAGGCAATCTCCCATGAACTCCTTATATTGCTGGGAAAGAGATCTTTCGACAATCGGCGTTCCAAGTACCAAAATCGTGTTTGAGCCATGATCCAAGAATCTCCGAGGAATGCTCGGATGTTTCAACGGTAGCGCAATGCTAAATCGATAAGAAGCCAAACACTTCACCAAGGACGTGAATATTCTTTCTGAGTGGGTTTCATTTGGGCTCAAATAATGCGTATGAGGGGGCTCCTTCATCTCCCAGAATTTCGACAAAGATTGTTAAGCGTTGTTACCGCGGTGACTAACATTGCTGACAGGATGTCAACTTGCCCTGGAGTATGGTAGGTTGGATTTATGTGTGGCCACGATGTTGCTTGAAGAGTTTCTTAGGGTGTGACATCTGTGATCTTAGATACAATAAGAACATCGAGAGGAATTTATGGTTTGGATTGGTTTACTGGTGACATTGTGATTGTAGTCATGTCGGACACCACATTAACCGATGTGCCTGAGAACAAGCTGAATTTTGTGGTTATCTGGGTAACTGAGAGGTGATCGGCACACTGCTTCGTGATAAAACTGACCTGGTATCCAGGATCCAATAGTGCTCGCAATGTATGTTTCTGGTTTTCGACTGATGGGACACTGACGAGTAATGTTGAAAGTAAGATCGACTGATATCTTTTGGTAGCAGTGAACATCGGTTTCTGCTGACAGAACAGTGTCACTCGTGGTTGTATCATCCGGGAAGTGCAGTAGTGTAAGATGCTGTTTCTTACATGATTGACATGTACACCATGATGGACATGCCACTGACGTCTGCTCAGATCCCAAACAATCGATGCATAAAAAAAGCTTCTTCGCCATTTGGGACCATTCGCTTGGGCTTTGATTTTCGAAGATAGCTCACTTTCTCACTGAATAGGCTTGTTTAGATATTGGGAGATGCAATATAACTGTCATCGCTTCACCAACGAAAAATGTTTTTAGAAACTCAAATCTTTCCACGTCTGGAAGATCCAAGCCATGTGACATAATGGAGTTGAACAGATCCTCAAATCCTTGCCACTCAGTAACGTTCATTTTGGCAGCTGGTAATGGGATACGTTAGTAGATCCATTTCCGATGGTTTTGTTTAAAGTTGCCGAGAGAGATTGATCCAGGAAAGGTGGTAGCAAGATGTTTTGCACATCTGAAAAGTCAGGAAGTTCGTAATACAGACTATCAAATATGGCAGAGAGTGCACGTCTATCAGCTGTACCTGTAACATCAGTAATAGCTGTCCCGTGACTGGCCATGTTTTCCATATACTGTATATCAAGCTGCTCTTCAACATTCCGATGGATATCGCTGAGCTGTCGAAACAACTGTTCAATTTTATCCCGTTTTCCAATTTTTTTTATATCAGTCACCACAATGAATGCAGTGATTCTGTCGGTACCTCGGATTACACAGGCCTTTGCTTCAAGTGGAGACAGGAAGATTCATGTTTTGGATATCTTTTAACTTCAGTAGTTAAAACGGCACTAGCAGTCAAGAATCGCTGGTGATATAATAGTGACTTGGGTGACTGATGTCAATTTTTCTGGAGTGGATGTTGATGGACAATATGACAGGGTCCCGGTTTGTCTTTTCCAATCCGGTGATCGAAGGACCAATAAAGATGTAGCGTAATAGAATAATTTTATAAATAATTTGAGCTTAGCAAAAAGAAACACTGGGTTTTTTGTCACACTGACGAATTATTTATTTGACAACAACAGAATAAAATAGTCACTGGGTTTACTTTGATAGGGATACGATAGTAAAAGTGCTCAAGAAGGGGAAATGGAAACTACTAAACGGTATGACAGTCGGTTCAATGGCAGAATACTCTTAGAATTTTTTCGGGGTTGTTACTCAATGACGTATTGATGCGAGGCCCAAAGACACAGAAGAAATATGTTCATATTTTCAATTCTTAAGCGTTTTCGAAAATATCAATATGCAATTTCATCGGACATTGAGAAGATTGTGAGAGTTTACCAGAGTGACCCCTAGTAAAAATCACCCACGGATCTCTGGGACTTGAGATCTGTGACCTGCCAGCCGTGTCACGTGGGAAATGTGAATTTCACTATGACAGAACTGACAGGTTTTAAACACGCATTGGCAAACTGAATGCCCAGGATTCATAATATAAGGTGACACTGAATAAATAATAATAACAAATGATTTGGGTTTAAGAGTGATAGGATAGTATAATATATTTCACGTTGACACTCGAGTGTATAACAATAAGTGGGTCTTTTTAATAATATCTTTGACACCACAGGTGAAGTATATATATAAGTTATGAACCACATGGCTGGTAGAGGAAATTTATAAGGAAAATATAATATTGTCGGGGCACATCTTAAGGGTGGCAAAAAGGGCAGGGGGGGAACAACAATACGTTACACGGCTGGACAGTTCGAGCAGGTCAGGCGAGCAGCAACAGTTCGGGCTTTCCGGCTTCCCCGGCCGATGGTTGAGGCTTATGCCATCGTGGAGTTGTTGTCAACGGTGGTGAAAATAATGAAACTAATAATTTATGTACGAGGACAGGATCTGTCCAGTACTGATAGTATTGTTGAGTCGAGAACTCCCGGTCGATCAGACAATTGGTAGGATTAAGACCAAAAAAAAACGTGACGGAACGGAGCCAACGACAAGACGTGGTTGCGTTAGGCCGTCCGTTGCAAAAAAAAAAAAGAAAAAATTGACGGCGTTGACGGCTGGCAGCTGTTGATTTCAGGCGGCGTGCTGACCAGTACGGGTAGAGGGAGGTTGGTTACAATAATTATAATAATAATGTGGGTACAGGTTGCACTGTTGATGCCACTGGCAATGCGACTTCCTCGAACGACAGCACAATCTGACCACAGCCGTGGTGGGTGACAGCTGTACCTTGCATAGGTGGGGGGAGGGAGTAGTATGTGGAGACATAACTTTGTGGATTGCATTGTTAATCGAGCGCGCAACAATTATGATAATAATAATAATAATTGTGATTCGTAATAGCAATAATAATGATTGTGTACGAAAAACCCGTGACGTTACAGAACCCCCCCAACAAGTTGTTAAAGTTGAGACTTAGGGTTAGGAACTGCAAATAACTTGTTGTAGTATAAAAGACACTGCGTTTTTTGGTGGACCATAGACAGTTAACATAAAGAAAATAACTCAATCAAGGTAATAATAATAATATAATGACCCGCTTTGCATTGATAAGTAAATGATTTAAGTTAGGAAATAAATAGTTTGGGCACCAACGTTAAAATAATAATAATCTGATCTCACGCCATATAATAATAATTCAAAAAACAACACATTTATGTAATAAAAAACCTACCGATAATAATGACCTGGACCTACTTTTGTTGTTCGTACAACAGTGTTAGAACGCTGTTGCGTTAGAGCGCAAACTTATACATGGTAATGTATCTACATTACAGAGAGTGTAGCAATATACAACCCCCCATTAAGACTGGAGACCCGGGTTAATAATATGGGTCACTCTGAAGATAGTGTGGAGCATTTTAATGTTGCGAAGATGAAAGTTGAGATATGTTGTTTTTTTTAATGTGATGATTATGAATTGAAGTTGACTGGTGATTATTAAAGCATTGTGAACTAAGATATTGATCTGATATTATTAAGAGAGGCGTCACTCCTGATAAGTCTACTGTTTAGGTGGTATGTATGGTTTCAAATGAATGACGTTGTGAGTGCCTTTGGGTGTACCATCATCAGGGTGAACTAACTCATATGCATTGGTGGTTTTAATGTTTGTAATCTTAAAGGGACCATCGTATAGAAGAAAGAATTTGGAGATTTTTTTATCTATTAGGTTACTTAGCTTATGAGTGCGGACTAATACTAGGTCGTCTACTTTGAACATCGTGGGATTTAGACGTGCTGTCTGGGCTCTCTTTCGGGCTTCTGCTTTTGATAGTTGGACCTCTTGGGCCAATATTAATTTTTTATTGTAGTCTAATGTGACATCATTTTGGGGAAACTGTATGCATTGAACTAAAGGGTTGTATTTGGACCTCTTAAGGAATAATGTGGAGGGAGTTTGATGTGTGGACTCATGGCGCACGTTATTGAGCGTCCATTCAATATACGGTACATACTGGGGCCATATTGAGTGCTTTTGATGACAATATGTCCGAAACATTCTACCTAATTCTCTCATCACACGTTCTGCAGGGTTCGATTGAGGATGGTATACACTAGTGTGGGATACATCAATATTATACTTCTTAAGGGAGGTTTGCCAATGTTTACTAATAAATTGACGACCGTGGTCCGACACAATGCTTTTAGGAACACCATAGTTGGGGAAGTAATCAGTTGTTAATTTCTTTATACAGATTTTGGCATTGGCGCGCCTTAGAGGATATAATTTAATGAAACGTGTAAAGTTGTCAACTACCACAAAAATATAAGAGAATTGGAAGATGCCTGTAGGGAGGGGGCCGTAGAAGTCGACTAGTAACTTATCAAGTGGGTTATTAGATAGTACTGATTGCATTGGACCAGCTATGCGAGTAGTCTTCGGTTTACACCTCTGACATACATCACATGCTTTGACTATGAAGCGGACCGTTTTGTTAAAAGATGGAAAATAACAGACGTTTTTTAAGGATTGGGCGGTCTTCAGGGGACCAACATGAGCATAATAATCATGAAAGAATTTTACAACTTTGTGTACTAAGTGACTTGGCAAATATATAGACCACTGAGTGTCCTCTTTGAATTTTTGAATAAATAGAGTTTCATTTTTGATAATATAATGTTGATGCCAGACCGGTAATGGATATGTTTTTAATAATGAAATAATCTTTAATAATTTTGGGTCTTGTTTCTGCTCATGTGAAATATTTTGAAAAAGGATAGAGATATCAGGGGGAACTGGCGGGGGTAACGTATAATGTAATATGACAGGTGTATCCCGTGGAGGTTGTTCATCTCGACCAAGTGGATGACGTGATAGAGTATCGATATGGTTGTCTTTCCCAGCACAATAATAAATTCTAAGGTCAAACTCTTGTAAAGCAAGAGTCCACCGTGTGAGACGACTATTTTTTAGTTTGCAAGAAAATAAAAATGTGAGGGCCTTATGATCAGTATATAAGTTGATAGGATACCCGAGAATATATATTTTAAATTTCTGGCATGCGAATAGGATACCAAGAAGTTCGAGTTCAGTCACTGTGTAATTCCTTTCGGCACCACACAGTGACCTACTGGCGAATGAGAGGGTGTTTCGTTGAGCGTTACTATCAATCTGAAATAACTCAGCACCAAGTCCGGTGTAAGACGCATCAGTCTGTATACAGAAAGGTATATTGAAATTTGGATGGGTGAGTGAGATTTGAAGAGAAAATGCAGTTTTAATTTTTTGGAAGTCAATCTTATTTTGTGCTGTGAAAGTCCAGGGGGTATCTTTTTGTATTAAATGAGAAAGAGGGTGCAAAAGTGCAGAATGATTTTGAGAGAATTTACGATAAAAATTACAGAACCCGAAGAATGACTGAAGGTCCTTTTTGTTGCGAGGTTCAGGAAAGTTTTGGAGAGCTTTGACCTTGTCAGGGTCCATCACCATACCTTGAGGAGATATGAAATGACCTAAGAATTTAATTTGCTGTTTATTGAAATGACATTTTTTAAGTTTGAGAGTTAAACCTGCTAATGATATTTTATGGAAAATCCACTCTAAGGTAATAATATGGTTTTCGAAAGATGAAGATGATAACAAAATGTCATCAACATAGGTATGGATATCATTTGGGAATGGACATTGTTGAGAATAATTGTTCAATGCGGCTTCGAGGCCTTTCCCAAACGCAGCATTTGAAATATTTAAACCAAAAGGGACAACACAAAATTGATATGAACGCCCATCATATAAAAAGCTAGTATATTGTCGTACCTCGGGGTCTAACGGAATTTGCCAATAACCCGAGGAAAAATCTAACGAGGAGAAAAAACATTTATCATTGAACTTTGCCAGTATATCGTCTATGGGAGGGGACGCATCTCGTGTGGGTAATATAATAGTATTCAACTTACGTGCATCAAGACATAATCGTATAGAGCCGTCGGTTTTAATAACAGTAACTAACGGGTTGTTATACGGTGAATCTGATCGCTCGATCACCCCCCACTGAATCATTTTGTCTATCTCTTTCTGCACAGCAGGACGACGGGAAAACGGGACTGGATATGGTTTTATTTTATATGATTCATGAGGTTTTACATTAAATTTATAAGAGAAAAAATGATGAAGGCCGGGTCTATCTTGAAATATAGGTTGATATTTTTGTATTAAAGAAGTCATTAAATTTTGTTGATGAGTACTGAGTGGAATATCATTGAGAGCTATATTATTTTCTGTCTCGAAAGGGAGAGATTCATATACGCTATTTGAAAGATGTTCGTGCATAAAAGGAGAATCCTCAGAGATGTCAACAGTTTTTAACGCATTGATGATACTATTGGGGTCATGATCTGCGATTAAACAAAAAGGTATTTTATCCTTGACAGAGAGAAGAGAGATTTCTTTTTTTCTATAATCTATGGTCACACCATTTTCTAGCAACCAGTCGGTTCCTAAGATAAGGGGAGTTGAAAGCTGTGGGACAACGAGAAAGATTCCATGGGTTTCATAATTTTTTATTGAGAAAGTGAGATATATTTGAGTTCTAATTTTAACGGTTTTGTTACTGAGTGCTGTAGTGAGCAGGATATTTGTGAGTGGGAACAGGGGTATGTTGTGTTGGGTGGGATTGATATTTAAAATTTTGAATAGGTGTTCTGAGATTGCCGATACAGATGCACCGGAGTCCAGAAGAGCTGTTTGTTCATTATTAAAGAGGCTAATTGTAATTTCAGGACGATAATTTGGGGGGGGTACAATTTCCTGATTGAGATCTAGTGGATGAGTAAGTACGGATATTTGAGGATTTTGAGTAGGGGACGCAGGACACATCCTCACGTGTCTGGTCGGAACTAGTTTTCCGTAGGCGGTGTTCCCTGCTCGGGTTGTTGAGAGGGAGCTTGGTTCTGAGATTGTGGATATTGGGGCCTATGGTAATTGTTTTGACGAGGAGGGTAATTGTTTTGACGAGGAGGGTAATTATTTTGACGAGGAGGGTAATTATTTTGACGAGAAGGGCCTGAAGAGTTATTGTATGAATTCGGTTGTTGAGAGTGAGAATTTGAATTGTTATTGTTGGGAGTATTCGGAGCACTTGAGGGGCCGTTTGAACGTTGAAGATATGTCAGTTCTTTGACTAAGTCGTTCGTTGTGAGAATCCTGAGACCTCGGAGCGCAAGCGAGAGGTGGTAGGAAAAGTGGGATATAATTTGGTCAACCATTTCCACTTGTTCTATCGGGGGCTGCAGATGACGGGCACGGTTTATCCAGTCCATGGCGTGTTCGGACAGAGTGGAGGGATCTTCATGATAGTAGGGACGATACAACTCATTTCGAATCTGCCGTTGAAGGCTGGGAGACCAGAAATAGTCACGGAACAACGTAACAAACTCAGCATATATTAGAGGGGGAGGTAACAGGGTAGTATACCACAATAACGCTTTCCCAGTGAAGTTATCACTGACAAAATTAATCTTAACCTGATCAGGGGCATTATGTATTAAGAAGTAGTGATCAACTTTGTCCAAAAAGTCTGCAGGGTGTACCGGTGTGAGCTGCCCGTTATATTTCGGTATCCTGTTGGGATCCATAGAGATACTAGAGAGTTGGGAGACATTATTTGAAAGGTTGCTGTTGTTATTGTAGAGGGACTGATTGTCTCGAGAATTATTAATGGCTGAAATAGAGTGTGGGGGAATAGAATTATTAGAAATAGGTGCTTGAGGCAGAACTGTTGATGATAGAATATTTGAACTGAGAGCGTGTGAAATAGATATTGGGGGAAGCCGAGAAGCAGCCTGTGTTGTACGTGGGGGTGGGGCTGGAGTTGGAGAAGTGAAAGAAATATTTTTAACTTTATTCTCGACCGCAGCAAGTCGAGCAGACTGGCCTTCCATGAAACAAACGCGACCAGTGAGGGACTGGATTTGCGCATTTATCTGTTGTTGAACACTATTAGTATGTTGTATGCTATCTTGGAGTGTGGTATCATGGTAACTAGCATTACTAGTTTGAATATCAGCGATATGACCTTGGAGGTTGACAAACTCCTCATGAAACTCACTCTGGACTCGGGTTAACTGCTGGGTGGTGCCTATTTCAACCTCCCCTACCCGAATGGATAGTTCCTGGAACTTCTCGTTATACTCACTGAGCCTATGGTTGAGGGACTCGAATTGTTGTTGGAAAACTGTATTGATATCATTGATTTGTTTTTGGAGGGAGTCTACAGTGGGGGACTCTATGTTAATAAGGGGTTGACTTGGATCTCCGTTGGGGGTACCCATAGTAGTATCTAAATTAGGAACAGGGAGAACTGGAGAGTGAATGTAGTTCGATGGATCAAACCTATCAGGTTGGGTTGTGCGGCGTTGACCGGCGCCGTACATGGGACGTAGACCAGTTGATAATAAATTAAACTACACACTAAGAGTGGATAAACGATTTAATAAAAAAAAATTCTTAAAACAGTATGTAATTAGTATAATACTCACTGAAAATCAGTCTAAAATATTTTTTTTTTTTTTAGAAATAGTTAAAAACTTCAACCAAAATAATTAAGAAGTATTCAATATAAGAGAATTGAGATTTCTTGGACTAAAAGTAAAAATTAATTTAAGCAAAAATAAAAGCAAAAAGCTAATAAATAGTATGGTATAATTCAATATAAAAAAAAACTGTATAGATAAATAAGCTAAGGCTTTTGAATACTAATCTTTGAGTAATAATATAATTTAACAGACAGGGCACTAGGGGAACCAAAAAACCCAGGATTACTGCTACCTAGCATCAGTCCAGCAACCATTGTGTAACGATATTGAATGATAATGGGGAAACCTACCTAACATTCAGGGAATATAATAATTATAGCAGAGATGATATTAATCCACTTTACTATTTAACTTGAATAAGTAATACACTGAGAAATAATTTATATATATAATAAAAAAGAACCTCCTTGCAAGGGACTTATAATAAATAATTTAACGTTGACCATCAGTCTAAATAAATAATAATTTTTTTTTTTTTTTTTTTAAATAATGAAATATAACTCACTGACATAAACATTAAGTTACAGTGACTAGACTTTAAATAATTTAAATAATTCAACATTAATTTTTAATAATAATAATCTCTTAATTAATTAGGCATTACTCATTCGAATAATCAACAATAATATAGCATTCTACCTACCAAGGCAAAGAAAAAAACAAAAATCATAAGGAATGTACCGTTAATTTATAATAATTCTAATACTGACATGGGACCTCATGGCACAACATAATATAAAAAAAATAACTGTCCGCAGACCAAGTTACTACTTAACACAATAATATAATAATCCTCAGATTTACCTACAAAGGAACAATAATAAATCAAGTTACCCTAAATGGTGTAGTGATAATAATATAATTTAACACTTAACACACTAACAATAAATGACTCTTATAGAGCATAAAAATTCAAATTACCTCTCAGGGCATAATAATTAATAAAAATTCAAATTACCACATACAGCATAAAAAGAAGAATTCTAACATACTATACAAGGCATAATAATATAACTTATTGACCATGTGGTCCTAGAAAAAAAACATTTTTATCGCAGCGCACCTATAGCAATCTAACCTGACAATGTTATGTAACGGGTTGAACTTGAGGCCTATGGTAACCTACCAGGGAAGGCTTAAAGGGAAACATATGTATTATGCATACCATAGGGAAATGATGATAATTACAGGGTTCAGCTGTCTCCACACCGTAGCTGCCAGAACAAACTGCCACCGCGGAACGAAGCCGACGCACCAACCAACAAACACCGACAGGAACAACTTCTGTAATAAGTTACTGGATATAAATGTGTATAGGGTGGGACATAAGAAAAATAATAATAATTTAACAATTACCTTGGTAGAATTATACATTTTTGAGAGAGAATAGTTTATAACATTATATTTTTTTTTTTTATGATACCAAGAAAAATGAAGTTAATTTAATAATGTGACTTTTGTTAATTTAACATAATTATAAATGGTCCCTTGCAAGAGAGTAAGTCACATTCTGAATTATAATAAAAATAAAAAAAAAATAGAGATTTGGGCAATAATAATATAAAGGGAAATATGGAGAATGGTATAAGATATTCTTTTGGTTACAGGATCCTACTATTTTAGTAGATTGAAACGGATAATAATTTTTTCTATATTTATTTATTTATTTTTTTTTTTTTACAATGCCATGGGTTACCTGATTTAAAATAATTTTTATGTTGAATAATAATAATGTTAGCAATTGTAATACTACCTATGGTGCCAATTAAATTATAAGTTTGCCATTTAAATGATAATGGTATATACTAGTGGTAATAGAGAAAAAAAAAATTTGAATATTAGTTAAATAGGGAATTTTAAAGAAAATGAATCTCCCCGGAGCCTCCATATGTGAGAGTTTACCAGAGTGACCCCTAGTAAAAATCACCCACGGATCTCTGGGACTTGAGATCTGTGACCTGCCAGCCGTGTCACGTGGGAAATGTGAATTTCACTATGACAGAACTGACAGGTTTTAAACACGCATTGGCAAACTGAATGCCCAGGATTCATAATATAAGGTGACACTGAATAAATAATAATAACAAATGATTTGGGTTTAAGAGTGATAGGATAGTATAATATATTTCACGTTGACACTCGAGTGTATAACAATAAGTGGGTCTTTTTAATAATATCTTTGACACCACAGGTGAAGTATATATATAAGTTATGAACCACATGGCTGGTAGAGGAAATTTATAAGGAAAATATAATATTGTCGGGGCACATCTTAAGGGTGGCAAAAAGGGCAGGGGGGGAACAACAATACGTTACACGGCTGGACAGTTCGAGCAGGTCAGGCGAGCAGCAACAGTTCGGGCTTTCCGGCTTCCCCGGCCGATGGTTGAGGCTTATGCCATCGTGGAGTTGTTGTCAACGGTGGTGAAAATAATGAAACTAATAATTTATGTACGAGGACAGGATCTGTCCAGTACTGATAGTATTGTTGAGTCGAGAACTCCCGGTCGATCAGACAATTGGTAGGATTAAGACCAAAAAAAAACGTGACGGAACGGAGCCAACGACAAGACGTGGTTGCGTTAGGCCGTCCGTTGCAAAAAAAAAAAGAAAAAATTGACGGCGTTGACGGCTGGCAGCTGTTGATTTCAGGCGGCGTGCTGACCAGTACGGGTAGAGGGAGGTTGGTTACAATAATTATAATAATAATGTGGGTACAGGTTGCACTGTTGATGCCACTGGCAATGCGACTTCCTCGAACGACAGCACAATCTGACCACAGCCGTGGTGGGTGACAGCTGTACCTTGCATAGGTGGGGGGAGGGAGTAGTATGTGGAGACATAACTTTGTGGATTGCATTGTTAATCGAGCGCGCAACAATTATGATAATAATAATAATAATTGTGATTCGTAATAGCAATAATAATGATTGTGTACGAAAAACCCGTGACGTTACAAGATGTTCCGACAAGTAGCTGTTGCAGAACAAGGCTGGAATTTGAAACGGGTATGCTGGCAAAATGATCCTAGTGAAGCTCTCCGGACTCTTTCTGTGCGCTTAGAGTTGTGAAGCTTCAATAAGGGGTTTAACGAGTCAGTCTTGAACTGAATGGAGCCTTGGTGTTAGCACAGTTACTCCAAATGCTAACAGGGTCTTGGGAAATTGATCGTCTTAAGTGTCATTTGTGGACAGATTCCACTGTGGTTCTTAGTTGTTTAAATACACAATCTAATCGATTAAATGTGTACCTACGTCAGTAATCGCGTGAATCAGATCTTAG